CAATCACCGTCTTGATCTGGTGCTGCAGAGTTTTGTAGCGATCCCAGTTTTGCATAGGGTCAAATAGGTGACAAATGATTTTACCCGAAGATCCAACCGAAATGTGATAGGCCAACCAGTGATGACTTCCCCGAGGATTAACAACTCCAACGACGCGATTGTTTAGCTTGTTGAAAGCTCCGTTTGACCCCGCATCATTGATTTGTGCCCCCACATCCATATAGTTGTACCATCCAGGTCCCACGATTCCAACACCAAGCTTAGCGTATTGTTTAGCAAGAAAACGTAGTGCTGCCATCATGCAGGTTGTATCCAGCTATTGAGTGGGACGAAATCGTAGCAATTTGGCCCCCGTAATGACCTCGCCTCCACCGGAGTAGGAAGATAACACCATGTTCTTGACAGAGTTCATAAATTGATCCTGTTACATACATGAAATCCAAGATATATCGTCAGAATAAGTATTGTTTCCAAACTCAAATACCAGTATAAGCAGCGCCAGACAGCAATATTATCCAGTAGTATTTCTCCAGCAAAATGAGCTGACGCCAGTTTAAAATTGTACCGGACATGAACTCTTGCCCACAAAATTGCACCAGACTCTCACAAATTGCACCGGACGCTCACAAAGTTGCACCGGACATTCGCAAAATTGTACAGGACGACCATGTTGTTTTGCACCGGACACGAGCTGATTCACACTGAGCATGAGCAATACTCGAGAAATACTACTTCGGCTCCCCTCTTTGGCTGTGCATCGATATGAACAAACCTTTGTGAACCGGTCGCAATCTTTAAAGGGCGGTTTCCATCCTAGCACTTGATAGTTAGGTCATCAATCCATCGTACGTTGCTTCAACAGCATGAAGTGCTGATCTTGCCTCATCCAACAAAATCATACTTTGCAAATGATCTGCAGTCACCGTGCCGATGCCATCCCAGTGAGCAGCATGCTCGCTATCACTTTCCTCGTCTTGTTGATCTATTTTGACAATCGCTGAGATACTTTCGTTGGGATTAGCACTTCAGGAACGGCCACTTCCTCGCTGGATGGCTTAGCAACAATTGAATAGACAGGGAGATCCTTGACTGTTGCTAACATCATGGCATCTACCTGTAAATGGCACATTCAAAATGACGGTGAGAAAACATCGATAATTAATACAGTACACCTCTAGGTCGTACCATCTTGCCAGCAGAATCGAAAGAGTAAGGTGCTCTGTCTCAGAAGGATACCGATTTCTGTTAGCTGAGGGGGTTTCAGCTTTTTGCTATCCTCGTATAGAAGGGCGCGTTGTCGAACCTTGGTCAATGCTTGGGATTGTTTTGCTTTCCCTGCCTTCCGACGCTCTACTTGTAAATTTGCAGGCGCCGAGGAGAAAATAAACTCTCGCTTTCTCTCCTTAGAAGCACACTCCACCTTTTTTGCAGATGACACAGACATTTGCTTGACTATGTCAGCCAGTTCTTCTCCACGGCCTTGGCGAATCATCACCTCCACGTTGCTCAAAATATTGAAGGTCGCTTCGAATGCCGACCTTGTCTGAGAAGCCATGATACCTTGGATTCTCTCGCACAGTGCACGTGCATTGCTAAACTTCTGATCATTCGTCATCATTGCGCGTGGTTGATCCGGCAATGTCTTCATTTGAAATGACCCA